AAAAAAAAAAAAAAAGCCCAGACACTTCCTTATCTATCCTTAAATGTAAACCTGAAAGCAGTTCTAATTCTCAATTTTTGCAAATTTCTTTAATTGGATTTACTATAAATGAGCATATGGTATTAGCCTATTAAATAAAATTTAAAGCTTAAAAGGAGATCTGTGGCCCTCCCTGGTGGCTCAGCGGGTTAAAGCGCTGCACTAAGAAGCTAAAGTCACTTCCGCATGAGTTCGATTCCCATCTGCCCCGAGGAGATCCACATGTCGAGGCAGACCTCTCCTGACCCGCCTGCGCTGCTCCCCTCAGCAGTGTACTTCATCTATCTGCCTGTTCTGCTCCCGGCTCCGTCTCTGGTGAATCCTCTCACCCTCAGCATCTCTGGCCTGTACCCCAGTTCTATATGAATAAATAAAATCTTAAAAAAAAAAAACTATACAAAGGAATTTGACAATGATATTAGGTGTCTCCATTTAAAAAAAAAAGGAGATCTGTTCTAACTCCCAATTTTTATAGTTATAGCCCATAGAAAAGGCAAGCAATAAATAGAAAAGAATAAAAAGCAAGAATCTTCCCTTAAAGATGCCTTCCCCACATAGATTAGACTATGTATCTCACTAGGTTACCTGTAATAAAGTTGTTTGCCTGAGTGTCACAAAGGAGGCTGTCTCCTCCTCCCCCAATGCCACCATCCCCCCACTTCCAACTTGGCAAATATAAGACAGATCAACTGTCTACTTTACAAAAGTAAAAATACTTTAATAATAATTCGCTCCTCTGCATTATGCTGTCCCTTCCCCCCAATTTGTACCCAGTTTCCTTCACTGCTGGAGCTGGGAAACTTTAAAGTAACTCCTTTTTTTCCTGGGGGAGTTGAAGTTACCAGTTTATGGTGATCTGAACCTAAAGGCAGGCAGGCTTAAAATGAGCAAAGCCAATCACTCATTATACCAAGGACAATGAAGGATCAAAGGCAGATGATCTTTTCTAAGATATAGAAAAAACTTGAATGTCACTGCAAGAAGATGCCCTCACATTTGTTAACATGACCATCAATTAAATACCTCAATTCTGTTCCTTGGTTTATCTATACAAAAGAAGATTGAGCCCCCCCCCCCCCACAAGCCACATTTCCCACAGAGAGGATCCCAAAACATACAACATTCTGAAGAGTCTCTGTCGCAAGACCCACATGATCTTTCCTTTCCCAAAGAATGTGTTTAAGAAAATGAACCTGGGCCTTCCCTGTGGCCAAGGGGTTAAAGCACAGCCCTGTGAAGCTTTGGCACAAGGCTGTTCCACCCACATGGCGCAGCAGACCTCTCCTGTCTCCCCCGCTGCTCCCCTCAGCAGTGTGTTTCAGTCCACCTGTTCTGCTCTGTTTCTGGTGAATCCTCTCACCCACCCACCCCCATCACTGGCTTGTACCCCAATTCTTGTATGCATAAATAAATCTTTTTAAAAAGAAAAGGAACCTAAAGGAGACCCAGGACCTGATTTTTTTTTTTTAAAGGAGTGGGAAGAACAAATGGGTGGTCCCTGGCACATCCAGGTGCATGTTTAAGAGTGAGGGCAGGTTCAGTCCCACCTGTAGGGGTCAGTTTTTGTAGGGGGCCACTACAGCAGAGGAAGTCACACAGGGCCCTCCCTGGTGGTGCAGCAGGTTAAAGTGCAGCACTATGAAGCTATCCCCAGCCACTGCAGCATGAGTTCGATCCCCAGCCAGGGAGGTGACCCACATGGAGTGACAGATGTGTGCTGACCGGCCTGTACAGTACAACTGCCTGTTCTGCTCCCCACTCTGTCTCTGGTGAATCCTGTCACCCTCTGAACCTCTACCCCAATTCTGTATCCATAAATAAATAAATCTTTTTTTAAAAAATAGTAAAAGAAGAGGAAGTCACACAAAGGTGATCCCAAAAAGTGCTTCTAGACCTTTCAGAAGACACAAGACCCAGCAGGGAGAGATAACTGGTGATGGCCCATGAACATCATCTAAAACCAGGAGTCCTATCTGCCAGTCTGGCTGGCTGCCCTCTTTCTGCTGCCAACTCACAGGGGACAGTCCTGTGGCCTTTCTCAACGTCATCCTGCCTTTCTAGGGACAGGATATACACATGTTAGAAATTAATCGGCTCAAGAAGCAATAAGCTTCTTGAAGCTTAACCTGAGTTAGGATATCTCCCACCCCTTTTTCGTGACAAACACTCCCCTCCTGCCCTCCACCCCTCACCTTCTCGACTGGGATGCTTGAAGGTCATTGCCGCGAGCTCCCCGCTGTGCACTGTGGGTGCCAAGGGAGATGCCTGAGCATGTGGCCACGGTGGACCTGGGGTGAGGTAGCCACCGGCGGGAGCGCTGTACACGCCATGCTGGCTGGAGGTGGGGTAGGCGCAGGCCGGGAGGAAACCACCCACTGCTGAGAGGCCGGAGGCGGACTGTGGGGGAGAGAGAGCCACAGATCATCAGTAAGCACACTGGGGGAGAAGAGGGAGTGATTCTCATTTTTTCCTGCTATCCCCACAGGAGACCTGGCCCTAATTTTCCTAGCAAAGATTCTCTAACAAAGTTATTTCCACTCGAATGGCCATAAATAATAAGAGAGGGTGAGTGAGATCATGGTAATCACTACCTGTGATTCAGAGAGCAGGATTTCAGATTTTATTTTTATTTTTATTCTATTCTATTTTTGCTTTTTAAACAAAGTATCTTGGTAAGAAGCAAGTCAAACCCTGGAAATGCAGTCTCCCCTCAAAACAGGGTGTGGATAAAAGGAGAAATACATCCCACCATGCTCACTGAGCCCACCACCGAACACTGCTTCCCAAATCACCTCAGCTAAGGGATGTTTCTTATTTTACTCTTCTTTCTTCATCATCTCTGCCCATCCACCCCAACGCTGGCGCTCACCCAGGGAAGAACACTTTCTTGCTCTGTGGTTCCTTACCTGAGTGTACTTAATGTCAGCCTCCAATGCAGGTTTCTCCAGTCCATTCACTGCGGGGTTGGCTGGGAAGGCTGTCCTGTTCACGCTGGCCCAGTCTTCCATCTTTGGGGAATAGGTGGCCCCTTCACTCCCGGCCAGGGCCCCTAAGATGGGTGCAGAGAGAGAGGGTGAGGAGTAGGGGGACACAGGAGAGATCAGAAGGTTGATCCAAATTGCACTGGGCACCAGGTTGGCTCTCCAGCCCCGACATTTGCACACCTCCTTCTAACATCCTTCTCACGTAGGGGGTGAGGGAGCTCAGAACACTTGACCGCTAACAGAATGACTGGAGGTGAAGAGCGGCAGGGTACCCGGCTTCCATTTTCACTCTTGGCGGTGTACAGAGAAAGGAGGCACTAGGGCCTCCTCCTAGCAACACACTGGACCCGCTTCCAGCAAAACGTAAAGTCGGGCAGTGAGGCCGCCAGGGGCTGAAGCTGAGCCCATTCAATCAAGGCAAACTTTCCTCTGTTCAGAGGTGGCACCCGGAAAGATGCAAGTTCAAATCTCTAGGAGGCTCAGGAAAAATATAAGAGTTCTCAAAAATCTCAATAAGCTTCCAGAGAATTGAGAGATGGTGCTACCAGAACTGTCTTCCCAGACATCCCGGGTCTCTCAGAAGGGTCTTCAAAGGACCCTTCTGAGCAAGAATCCGACTTCATGGACTGCTCCTGTGAGTTTATAAGTATCTGAGACTCGGAAAGCATCTCCTCTCTGAGCATACAAGTTTCATGAGGTCACCTTCCGGCCATGTGCCCACCAGTCACTCCATTACCCCCTGAATCTCAGGCTGTATTAGCTCCTCTGGAGAAGCAAGTAGCTTGTGCACTCCCAGAGGCGCTCCCACGGAGCTGCGGTCACTGCTATCGCTAAGCATTCAACATTTCTTTCCTGCTGACTCTCCTCTCTTGGGCAAAGTGAATTTCGTTTCTTGCCCTTCTCCTAACTCTGTTCACCTAAGAGCACTTCATAGCGTGGTTGGCTCTTGGGAGTTGGGTGCCACAGCGACTTGCAGACTGTCCTGGCCCACAAACTTTCTTCCAGGGACCCTCAAAAGACTGCTCCAAACTTCCATCGCTCCCTCCCTCCCCTACAGAGAGAAATGACCAACAGTTTGCAGTTTTAATTACCAGGGAAGACCAATTCTTCTGAGGTTTCACCTCACCCCAAGGATGGCTTAAAAAATATGGCCGAGTTCAGTGGGATTTCGGCTCCCGGCATGCCAATTCTAGGGTTTCAAAGGTCTCCCCGGCCTGCTGGAAACCCAAGCCACTAGTCAAAACAGGCAGGACTACATCTTGTGTCTTTTACTCAAAAGAACCTTTGGATCTGGAGGGGGGCGAACCTTTTGAGGACCGGTGATGGATCCCAAAAGACCTGGATCTTAAGACACAGTCACAGAATTGACTTGTGGTTTGTTTAACTTAGATCCCATGATAGGTTTGCCTACTTTTTAAGAATGAAAAAGAGTAATTTTGGACCTCCGCTCCGAATTTGTGGTCAGAGATAGCACTTCCATTTGGGAAATATTTTCCGTATTTGTGATAAAAACTTCAAGATGTCAGAGGGCTTTTAAAGAAGGCCCAGAACCTCAGTGTCCCCGGCCAGCCCCTGAGTCTCCACTGAATCCAGACCGGTCTGAAAACGACAGCGGGCGCCCATCACTCGCGTCCGCACGCGCTCCCCACCCCCAATTTCAATCCTGCCACTGGCAGGAATGCTGCGGAAGGCCGAAGGCCGCAGCGACTGACCTGTTTGCTCCATAAACGTCCGGATGCCCAGGATGTTGCTGACCGAGTGCGCCGAGGGCCATGAACGGGGGATGCTGACATGGCCTGCTGTGGCCGGTACCCCGTGGTGGCTGCCCATCTTGGCGCCTGTGGGTGACACCGGGCTGGGGTAGGGATACTGGTAGATGTGGTTGTAGGGCAGCGCGGGCTGCGGCGGCGGCTGCTTGCTGGTTTCATAGGGCCCGGGCTGCGCCAGGCTCCCAATCTTATTGCGGAGGATGCGGCTGATGGAGCTGACGGAGGGCACGTTGTACTTGTCGCAGACGCCGTCGGCCAGCAGCCGGTCGCGAATCTCCCAGGCAAAGATGCCAGGGTCACCCTGCTTGTAGTCCCGGATGTGCTTGACCACGTTGGGGGTAGTGACGCGGGGTTTGCTGCCCCCGATAGCCCCGGGTAGAATGGAGCCCGTTTCGTTGTAGCGCGCCAGGATCTTGCTCACGCAGCCGTGGGATACGCGAAGCTGCCGGCTGATGTCACAGGGTCGGATGCCCAGCTGCGCCAGCTCCACGATGCGCAGGCGGATAGCGTTCGGTAGTGGGCGGCCGTTGACAAACACGCCGCCCAGCTGGTTCACCTCGCCGTACGTCTGCTCTGCGGACGCGCCGGACGGGAGTGAGCGGGAGGAGGAAAAATACCGGCGGGTTAGCTAAGAGTGACCTGGAGGGGTTGGGGCCCGCGGACCCGAGCGCCTGCAAAGTTACCCGCGGGTACCTAAATCTGGGGGCAACGGGCCTGGGTCAGGCTCCGGGAATGGGCGCCGGGAATGGGCGCCGCATAGGTACTGCGCAGGGGGCGAGGTGCGCTTCAGTCCTCCCGGCTGTTTTGCGACTCTTGGTGCGTCTGCTTGGGATATGCCCTCCCTTGACGCGTCGAACTGTCTCCCTTTCTCCCCCTCTCAGGGCTGTGGACGCTCGGAGAACGAGACACGTCCGAGATCCAGAACTGGGTCTCCCAGGAAAAGCAGGCGGGAAGGAAAGGAGGCGCCGGGACACGACCCATCTCGTCAGCCCGCCCGCGCCCAGCTCGCCTCCCGCCCCTTACCCATAGCGCGCGGGCCAGCCAGCTGCCTGGCGCCGGGGCGGCCGGGGCTGGGCCCGGCGCAGTCCGGGAGAGCTCGGTCGCCGCCGCCGCGGGAGAGGCATAGAGGGAGGGCGCGCGAGAGCCGAGAGCCGCAGCGCGCCGGCCGCGGGCAGGAAAAGTGCTGTGCGCCGCGGCCAAGCGCGCTGCCGCCCGCTCGGGGGCCAATCCCTGCCGTCCGCTCCCAAGACACTCTCCACGCCCGCGACCCCAGGCCCAGAGTGAACTTCATCCGATTAGGAGAAATTCGTCTGACCGGGAGGCTGCAGCGTGCGGGGATCAATTTGACGTGTCCTCCACGTCAATCTCGGCAGTCACGCCGGAGACGCGCGAGTTGGCAGCTCATTGGTTCTCGTCACTGCACCCCGGCGCCCCCCTCCCCGCCCTGAAACTCTACCCCCTCCTACTATCCTCCCGCTAAGCTTTCCTCCGGAACCCATCCCCCTACACACATATACACACACAAACACACAACCTCACGCACGCGCGCATGCACGCTCAGTCACCTTTTCCCCACCTGGCCTGAAACCTTCCTCCAGCTCTGCTTCCCTAGAAGCCCCCTTCCCTCCCCGGTTTTGAGAATGATAGAGTGGACATTTAGTCTTAGTATTTATAAGTGCCAATAGTAGTTTTGGTTTTAATTTTCTTAACCACCTCTACCACTATCACTACTAGGTATCAGAGAATAAGTCAGCCATGGCAATGTGGTTAGTGTACCTCTCTACTGACCCCCTACCACAGGGCCACTGGAGCCAGTGCCACACTCACTGCCTGTGTCCTGGTGAGTACTAGGCATCCTGTGGAGTGTCCAGCAAGGAGGACCCTAACTAATTTATGGTGCAGCTGATTTGAAGAGTCCCAGACACCTCTCTCTTGCTTTCAGAAAATCTTACAAAGAGTAACAGCCTCCCACTCCCTTGTGATAGTGGCTCTATAAAAGGAGTGCGTAGAATCTGTTTTCCTGCGAACATACCTACCCATCCGAATTCATTCTGCTGGGAGATGACACGGAACACAAGTTGGGAAGGGATTATACACACTTTAGACCTCAGCAGAGGTCTGCAGGAGGTCATAGGCAGTTGCTTTGGTGCTAAGGCTGAAAGACAGAGAGTTTGCTCCTTTTTCTTCTGTCAGGGAAACCAGAATCCTTCCTTACCTTTCATCCAGCCCCGAGGGATGGTTTCATTTGAAAGAGGGTTTGCATGGGCCCTCCCTACTGGCACAGCGGGTTAAGGCATAGCACTAAGAAGCTAAAGCCACTTCAGCATGAGTTTGATCCCTGCCCAGGAGGTGACCCACATGGCCCGGCAGACCTCTCCTGACCCGCCAGCTGCTCCCCTCAGCAGTGTACTTCATCAATCAGCCTGTTCTGCTCCCCACTCTGTCTCTGGTGAATCCTCTCACCACCCCTGCTCCTCTGGCCTGTAATCTAGTTCTGTATGCACAAATAAATAAATCTTAATTAAAAAAAAAAAGAGGGTTTGCACAGCCTTGAATTCCTTGGCTTAAGGAATGACACCTTTTTTCTCTATTTCTGCCTTGCATCAACACCCAGTTCTTGGCTTCCCATGCTATATCACTGCTACTGTGTCAGTCCCAGAGGACCCCATGATGTGGGGTTCAGGACAGATCACGTAAAGAGAGATCACGTAAATGGTTTGCATTGTATTGATAAATGGAAGCCAGGACAAATGAGTTCCAAAAGGTAGGCCAGAGAACACCACACACAATGGGTTGTAGCGCAGGAGTTGGTAGAGAGGTCTAAGAAGGGACCTAGGAAGAGCAACAATTTGCTGGACTCTCTTGTGATCCCAGTTCTCCTCAGGAGGATAGAGCCCCTGGCTCTTCCCTAAGATTCTAGCATTTGGGAGCCTGAGTAGAAATTGCCCCGCTGGTCAAGTGATACTGCAGGAGGAGCAGATGGGAAGCAGCTCGGCCTCGGAAGCAGGGGCAAGAGAGTGAGTCCCTGACCACTTTCCCTCTTTCCTACCAAAGCTTCGCTGAATTCTAGTCAGTCTGCCCAAATGTGTCAAGCAGAAGGGCCTGAGCCATAAGTCCTAGACACTCTGTGGACCTGGGGTTGGGACCCAGGCTACAGGCAAGAGTAATCCTGAGGGAGGAGGATAGATTCCCCAAAAGTGAGGTCTCTCCTCTGCTGCATCCACAAAAACAACGTGCAGCCTTTGCGCCCAGAGCCGCACAGGAGCCCAGTGGAGCTGGGAAGAGGAAAGTCTGAGCTGGGACTGTGTGTGTGTGTGTGTGTGTGTGTGTGTGTGTGTGTGTGTGTGTGTGCTGGAGGGGGACTGTTTGAAAAATAAGATCTGTCACAACATCTCAGAGCAAGGACTAAGAACCGGGTAGTTTGGATCAAGGTGGGTAAACTCAAGCCAGGAACTCTGCGAAGGCGGGGAGCAGAGCCCTGAGCTCGCACCGTATGCGGGCACTCCAAAGTCACTCAGTTCTCCCTAGGTTCTGATCTAGCCCTTCTTTGAACAAGGCTCAAACAAGACCAGAGTGTTTCCTAAATCGAGGAGTCGCAGCATTCATAACTCAGTACATCCCTGAGATAAGGTAAAGCAGCTAGGGCCGTTTATTTCTCTGTACAAATCGACACACTCAGACAAGAGCAAATAAAGTCGGTGGTGCAGCGGTGAGAGCTGGCTGGCCCAAAGTGCCGCGTCGTGGGGCATACTCCGTTGCCAGTACAGCTTTACGTTTCCACTTGGGGACGGCATCTTCTCCCCATTCCCCTCGCAAAGGCCATCCGAGGCTGGGTGAGAAAGTTGGAAGACTGCGCAAGGGGCTCTCTGAGACGTCAGAGCCAGCAGACCCTCACTTCACATCCCACATCTCTCCCAGCAGCTGGCTGCCGGGACCCCACAGCTCTCTCACTGCAGCCCGCTTACAGCCCAGCTGTTGAAAAAGCTTACAGTTTGTCGCCCCCTGTCGGCTATACCTGGGCACCGCCGGTTCCCGGGCGGCCGGTAGGGCTGGGGGCGAAATGGGCCAAAGGTGGGGTTGCTGAAAGCAAACGTCTCTCCCACCTCCGGGAGATGCTGCTTCATCTCTCGCAAGATTAGGGGGCGGCAACGTGCTCGGCGTAGAGCGCACAGAAGTAAAAAGCTCCCAGGTTTCACATCCACGCTCGGCTAGGTTTGGCGCGGTTGTTTTGAGCGCCCTAACTCAGCGTGCAACAAAGTAACCAGAGGCTCCCAGGAGCCTGGAAACCGCGCGGCTAAGCCCGCGCTGGGGCCAGGGATTTGACGCATCTGGCTGGGGCTGGACGCCCGGAGCGGGATTGTGTAGCCCTGCCGCTTGGTTACTAGGGTCCCCAAGCAGCCGCGGGAACTGACCCAGGTTTTGCAAGATAGAGGAAGGTGAAGAAAGCTCCGGGGCAAAAGTGTGCGACAAAGAGGGATCAGGAAGAGGGTGGCAGTCCTCCGGAGGACTGGGGGTGAGCGGCGGTAGGAAGGGTTGCTGATGAGTACTGCCTGGAGAGTCCCTCCTGAACCGGAGTTCAGTCTTTGAGAAAGCCAGGGATTCGGTGACAGCGATCGCCGGTCGCCCCAACATCAAATCTCCTGTATCACTTTTGGTAGGACTATTTCAGGGAGTAATTTGAGTGCAAACGAAACGTACAAATCTCCATAGGTCAGGGTGTTCCCGGGGCCCACATATCTCTAAGACTCCGGGAGAAACCTAAAGGAGCAACGAAAGCCCCCTCCAGGTCCCCAGGAGCCTAAGGAGCAACGGCCAGGAGAGCGCTTCAGGACGCGCGTTTCGCTTCTGCCGGGAAGGACTTGGCCGCAGAAAACGCGGGGCACCCGAGGAGGGCTTTGGGCCCGGCCTGGACCCAACCCACGAGGATCGCCGCCGACGCCCAACACCCCCACCCCTCCCTTCCCGGAGCCGCGGGACCAGCACCCGCTCGGAGTAAGCAGGGTCAGTATCCGAGGTCCTCTTTGCGAAAGCCGCGCCTCAGGCCTGCCAAGCCCGCAGTCGTTCCCACGAGTGCCCTGGTTCAGCTCCCTTCCCGGTTTTCTGTGATTTTAGGAGCACTATGCCACGTGGTGTTGTGGTTAGAAATCAAAGGGGGTGGGGGCCGAGGGAGCCGAGTCACTTCATATTCTTTTAAAATTTCCTTTTTAAAAAAGTAGCGCAGGCTACAGGTTATAGCAAAAGTCTCTGTTCCTTCCCCGAGACCCCCACCCCCTCCCCGCGCAGTTTTGCAAAGATGTGGGCCACACTTATAAACAGTAAGGGTGAGTAATGAGTAAGAAATTACTTGGACCGAGGAGATTTGCAGGAGCAAGAGCCGACCCAGATAAGGCATTTGCAAATCCCCGGGAAATGCTCCAATGGCAAAACTAGCTCGCCGGAAGCGGGAGTGTGAGATCAAGCAAGGAAATCCAATCCACGGAGATTCTGGCCTTGGGATCCGGGACCAAAAAAAGGAGGGAGGACACTAGACTGAAGTGGTCGCTGAGCCCGCAGCCGGCCCAGAGCGGGGCTGAAGTGGCTTCGCAGCGTCTCAATCCAGTGTATTCACGAGAAAGTTGGGCTTGGTTTGGGGCGCAGCACCTGCGGCTCCAGATTTGGGACACGCAGACTTCAGCCCGCGAAAGGAAGGTGTTGAAGATTAGCCAAAGAGCGTTGAAAGAGACCCCGGGGCCAGAACTACTCTAGTCTGCTTTCCGCAGACCCATTCTGGAAAGTTGTTTCCACTCCGCCCGCTTATGACCCAGGAGGAAGTACAGTTCTTTGCCCAGCTCGCATTCTATTTGCGAGGTTGGAAGTGTGTGTTGTAGCGAACTGCTGAAGTCGACAGTGTTGGAATGGAGCGCTATTTCGCCTGCTCTGACGGGGATGCCTTTTGAAATTCCAGGAAAATTATTTGCATTTTATTAAAAAATATGAAAGGGATAAACGATAGATGTCTTCTGCGTGAATTACAGTGAACGTACAGGATTCTCCAATTTTGTTTAAAGATGTGGGGGGAAAGCAAATCAGAAAGCAGGTTTGCAAATCAGAAAGCAAACCCCCTACTAGAAATAAACAGGGGAAATTGAGCATAGAAAACTAACATCTATGCTGCAGCTCAGGGATCCTACTAGCAACATTCCTTTTAGAGTAGAACTGTGGCATTTGGGGGTAAGAATAAATGCCAGGAATTAGTGCCACTCGTGTGTCATTGAGCCTTTGTCCTTCTTGCCTGTGTATTCTCGGGTACAA